CTACTTTTGAGATCACTATAAAATGAAAGCATTTTATTAGCCCCACTTCTAACGTATTTTTGTAAAATCAAACTACAACACTGAACTACTTTTCACATTAATCCCATAAGCTAAAGCTATGAATGACCAAAAACTCCCTTTTCTGCAAGCCTGAACCTCTCCATCATGTTTTATTAATAGCTAACATGCAAGTTGCGTCACCTGCACACATCTGGTTTTTACAGCTAGATATCGAACGAAACTTCATCTGAAAATCAATTGAGGAAGACAACAATCAAGGACTACTCTGGGGCAACTGAAATTAAAGACAGATTTATAAAGCAGTAAGGGGCAAAGAACAAAAAAAGACCCATTCTCAGTTTAAAAAAAGTGTAAAACAATCATCCCAGACATGGCCACAGTGCCTGACTCCCCCCCCGCCCCCGCCAGTAACACAACAGCGACTGACAAAGCAATTGGTGCACAAACTAAACCAAAGACTAATCTGTCCTTCCCCAATAGACAAAAAAATAGAAGATATTTATATTTAAAACACAGACATACATTAAAAACAAAGCTAAATGAGTGCTCTGATTTTAGGAAAACTTGTCTATCCATCCGTTAAAAAAACACAACACACAAATCAATATTAAAGCATCTATTGATACTTCTTGACTCACTACTGAAAAGGAGGAAAAAAACCTTATAAAAAAAATGAACTATTTTATCTACTTACATAAAAACCCAAGAGCCCGGGATCTACTCAAAGTTAAGGATAATTTCAGCAATTGCCACAAGCTACATCTTCTAACTCAAATTTCTCCTAACAAGCAAATAAAGAGTAATAGATACTGGTCTTCTGCAGAGGACTCATCTACATGATGAATTAACTGTAGACATTTGATCCTTTTGCTAACAATCTTCTGAATGTTCTTGCTCCAGAATTAAGAGTACCTTATTCCAATTTAGCTTAATCCATGTAATCCATTTGGAGTGAGACACACTTATACCACAAGAGCTAGATGGAATTGAGATACTTAATTCTGAAATTGCAATCCAAGACCCAGCCATCTGGGTTTAGATTACAGCTTGCTTCATTGTTTGAATGGACAAGTCTTCGGGAGTTTGAAGATGCCTAGTCTTCCTAGTCTGGGGACTTCTTAGTCCGAGGAAGCAAATCTTTTGCATTCAAGAGCCAAAAACTGCCATTCCTCTGCCTAAATTCTCCAAGGTCAATCTGACATACATGCTGAGTGCATCTAACACACTGACAGGACCTAGGGTTCTTTATAAAACCCAAGTAGTTCACTGATGACTGTTCACAGCAGAGCTACCAGGGTAGGAAACGACGGCAAGGCATCCTGCATGAGCCTGGCAGTACCCTTACCCAGGAAACGGGAGGCTCAGATTCCACAGCCTCCCGCTGGAACTGGCCACTGCGTAGCTGAGCATGCCGGTTGGTGTGGCCAGAAAGAGGAAGCAAAAATGTAGGTTGCCTCTGTAGCTTACTTGTCAGTGGACTTAACGGAGGCAGGGGCAAAGTCCAGACTTCTGGTGAACCTCAGATGATTTCTCAAGTTTGATTTATTGGGTAGCAGGAAACATAGGCAGTAGCTCAGAACAAGCACACTTAAAGCAGACAGAAATTAAGTCCACCTCTCTTTCTATCACACCCCCTCATGCTCCAGTCTTCCCGAACCAGGACTCCACATCCATACTTCCTCTTTATTCTCCACCCCAAAAATTAGGACCCATCCCAATCCGCTCACCTCCGCTCCTGCAAGGCAATTAGCAGAAACTGCACGTGGGGAGGTACCTGAACTGAAGGGTAAGCATCTCTGCAGAGATAGTTATGGATTGTGAGTGACTGCTTGTATATGGGACTTCACCCAGTGGTTTGTATAACCACCTCCACACAGAAAACTGTTTTCAATGTACCACTCGCATGCAGTTACTTTGATAACCACCAAACTCTATCACACATAATAAACTTCGCTTACTTGGCAGAGTCAAGACTCAAATGTTCCGAAAGACCTGGTCATCACTAGAGTTGTACGTGCTAGGTACATATTTAAGAAGTATTGCTATAAAAGCTGGAAATCATCATCTCTCCTCCAGTTATGTCCTGCTATTTGGAAACCAGGTGGAGGTGCCACTACATAAATTCAGGAAATTAGACCAGTGCTCTAGATGCATTTCACTGGAGCTGTGAATCAAGCACAGGTAGGAGTTTCAAAAACTGTGTCTCCTCACATACCAAATAAGCTACAAGACACCCAACACAGCACTTTAGATTAGGCACTACAGTTTGGTAACCTGAACTTTTGTCATTAAGGCTCCTAGATTGTAAGCACTCAAGTAAATTACTGGATCTAACCCAGAGAGTCATATAAAATCAATGTAAAAATTAAGTCAGGAATAAGTATGATGCTTTAAGTTTATAACCTGCCTTACTTCAAGGAAACTTTCCGTTGCAGGCTGGCCCTCCAGAGCTGCTGTAATCCACAAGTTATCATTTCTGTTCTAGCAATACGCTGTATTTTTGTTTGCAAGTCTTCTATTCTAAACAAACTGAAGCTGTTTAAGCTGTTTATGTCAAGATATATACTACCTGAAAAAGCAGTGAAAAAGGTTTACCACTTCAATAAAAGGATACAGTAAGTTCATTTGGATCAATACAGAATATAATGGTAAGAGCTATTTTTGAGTAACAACTCTGCAGGTGCACTTACTTCACAATGACTACCACACTTGGGAGTTATTCTACAAATAGGCAAGCCCTAGAGGTATGATAATACTGATCTCCACTTGTGAATCTGAATTTAAACAGAAATTTTACAGATTGGGATCACTGAATGGAACTCTAACATTTCAACTTTTAATTTGAAAGTTGGGAGGCCCCAGTGTGTGTAAATACTAACCGTTACACTTTCCCTTAGTTTTGTAACTTAAAAAATTCAAACATCTCCAGTATTTTAGTTTTGACACCATAATAGCTACACTTAGATGTAATAATGGTCGTGAAGTAAACTTCTTTAAAGGCTTACAAGGCTTCTCTTAATACTTCTTTAGTTTTAACTGCCTAAGTAGAGAAAGAAGAGGCATTATTTATAATATTATTATTTTACGGCAAACAAACCTGTAATTATTGTCTGATATGGATAATACAAGAAATTAACTGTACTGCTCTCTATAAATGAGCTTTCTATGATACATTTTTTTTCACAAACAATTTCAAGTTCCCTTTCAGATAATAAGAAGCAGCAGTTTACATATGCAACTCTAAAAAAAGTCCTTGCTCTTTTAGTCAATACCTTCTCCTGAGTCCTCCTATTTTGATGTAAATTAGTTACTACTACCAGACTAAGGGAAGAGAGAATGCCAAGAAAAATCCAGTGAAATAAATCACTTTTTTGCTACTACAAAACAGCAATATTTTTGTGTTTCACTCAATATAAACAAGGCAGTCCTGAATACTGCAGTACTACAACAGCAGCAATACCCTTGAGATTATCTAATTTTATCACCTCAGCATTACTTGAGGGACGTCAGTGAAAATGCTATACAAGTGAATTGTTGATTAGCTCAGTCACACTAATCCCTGATGTAGCATGGCAACCAGAACATAAAATTTGCTTCATATTATTGGTGAAGAGCTATTACTGAAACTATTCACATCTAAATACCCCTTATACTTGCACCTGAGAGACACACAGTTATCAAGTAAGGAGATTACAATTGCACTTCTTTCAATTTAGTTAATTGGTATAGAATGAAGATTTGACTACAAGATGCAGCTTAAAAATCGAGTTACTGCTATAACATATGAATGAGCAGGACAAAATGCATGCGCATGTACACGCTGAGAGGTTTAGTAACTACTAGAAATAGAAAACAGGATTGAGATAGTTCTGTTACCTCCTCCCTCATCTCTAAACTAGGTTCTATTTTAACCTCATCTGTAAGAATGCCTGACAGCTGCAAACTACTTCTAATCTCATTTCCTACTTTCATCTTGCATTTTTATTTATTTCTCACCATTCCAAGTTGTTCACTATTCTTTACAATCTTATTACAATTATTTAATAGATCAATATAAAGCTAAAGGACACTAAAAATAAGGTTTCCAGAAGTTCTATTATTGGCTTTTAGCTAAGATTATCTTCTTTGGCCTTGTATTTACCTCTTAGCATTTCTGATTGAACCCCGGTGTTTTTTTCAGGACTTCTAGACACTATTGAAATACAGTTATCTCTTCCTTATCCGTAAGTGGATTAGCTGGTCGGAGCTTACACGGTGTAGCTGCCTGCAGCGCTGTGCCCTGCATGTGGGAGGAGTGCACTTGCACCAAAACCTGTCTTTCACTATAGTGTGCCTCCTTTCTAAACAAGACTTTTGAGTATAGCTTCAGAAGATGCATGAACCATATACAGTCTTACAGTTCAAGCCTCCATGCCTTGCATTAGTCATGTTTTCTCACCTTATCCCTCCATTATTCCAGGCAAGTAAGAGATGATTGTAAACAGGTGCTGTCTTCATGCATGCATCAGACAGAACTCCAAACTCCTAGAGGAATCTAAATACTTGGTTTCTGTTTGGTACCTAACAGTAAACTTAAGCATTTCTAAAGTGAAAAGAAGTAGTATCTGATCTACTTGCATCCACTAGTTTTCAATGAAACAGTAACTCACTGGTAGCCATGTGAAGCCAACCAACTTTTTTTTTTCCTGTCTTCAGAATAGCCTCGAAGCATCACCATGTCAAAACTGACAGCCTCACTTTTGTCTCAGCTACCTATCTGCAATCTAGTTTTATAGCATTTAAGTAATTAGATTTTTTTTAAACAGCAAAACAGTAACTTTATTTCATCTATTTTCTAGTGCATTTAAAAACAATAATAAAACATACAGAAAGGTTGGAAGAAAATTCCTCTCTGCTTATACTGTCGTACGGTTCTGTGGCTAACCACATTTCTCACCTAGTGGAATTTTAGCACTGTGGAGTCCAAACATTTGACTGTTTCACGTTACACTGGTTTTCAGTTCTGGTGTATGCTTTAAGCTTCCCACTTCCTTCTTCAGGACATTAAGCAAAGTTCTAGAACTATCCAAAATCTTCATGTAAGCAGCTTCAGTTTCAGCAAGAATTTTATCAAGCTCATTACGTGAAGCTACCTTTTGGGCCAGGTTTTCACATACACATTCCAGTTGTTCATTCAGGACTTGGATTTCATGCTGGAGTTTATTTTTTTCCTCTTCTGCTTGCTGGATTTGTTTGTTCAGCTCTTCTTTTTGCATACACAAGTCTTCAATGCATTTCACTAGCTCATTATTGTAACCCTGAAGAACAGCTCCCTGCTGAGTCATTCTCCGCTCCCCTCCCTGGGCTCTGCCACTGCTCCCTGAAGTCCCCTCTCAGCAACAGCCTTCTGCGCTCTAAAAAAAAAAAGACAACAAAAAGCAAAAAGAAAAATTCTGTAAGAGAGTTATCATGAACAATGCTATGCTAGCACAGGCAGAGCCACGGGGAAAGATGCTCTGTTTAAGATTAGCATGCTAGTTCTGAGTTGTGCCACATCTCTTCCCTTTTCAGGAAAGGGGCAGGACAAAATTCAGCATCTACACTATACATTTACTGAAAGCTGGCCTCTCCTAGGATAACCTCATAGCAATGCTCAACTCTGGTATCAAAAAACTTCTATTATATAATATCTTAATGCCATTCTGAATACATGATGCTTTGTACCTCAGACTTCGAGGGTTCAGTCAGAAATAACCGAAAGGCCCTTTCCCAGGAGAAGCCTCAGCAATCACCACCACCACCAGCAGCACCCACCCGGCCTCTGCTGAAGGCGACCTTCCTCGCACACCGAGCGCCAGGCATCCGCTTCAGAGAGCCCGGGGCCACCTGCAGCCAACCGATCACGGCGGCCGGGGTGACAATTTTACGCGTGTGCCGAAGCAAG